TCATCAGATGAAACAAACTTGTCTGTATCGTTACGAATTGAATTGACCACAATTCCTTGAATTTCGTGATAATTTTTACTACTGCCACTATCGAATAAAGACCTTCAGGTTACTTTGAACTAAGGCCACACCAATTTAATTTCTTGGTTAACGGATTTTTCTAGAAAAATAATGGAGCGGGCGGGTGAAAAAAATAATAAAAATAAACACAAAAACAGGCCTAGGCATCCAATTATGGCCCAAAATGGGTACGATAGGGGCCATGAAGTCAATACACCAGGCTGGTTCAAAATTTATAACACTGAATTTTGAACTGTTAATATACCACTGCATTGAAAGATGGAATAACTGGGAACAACTAGGAAGAAAAGGACTGTATCCAACTGTTCAGGACAAAATATGAGCAGTATGCAGTTGATTCTGAATTTTATTTATTTATTATATTTCAGTCCATACCATGGTATGGATGAAATATATTGTGTTCTCTGATGTTTCTTCTTCTTCTCCTTCTCCTGCCACAGTCAAAGGGATTCAACTCCGCCATCATTCAGCCAAATGACTTGAAATTTGGCATGGAGGTAGAGTGAGCCAATACCCCCAGGCGATTTTTTTTCATTTTTTTGATACATGCCTTTGAAAAATTTTTATGAAGGTTTTTTTGGGCATTTTTCGCCAAAAAATGGATTTTTGGATCCTGAGCCCTGGTTTTACAACCAAATGATCTGAAATTCGGTATAAGGGTACCTTGAACATGTGTCTACAGAATAGCAGTCACATATTTGGCATACACCACTTCCAAATGACTCATTTGGGGGACTTTAATGGCTATTTTCAGCAAAAAAGGGCCAAAAGTGCTATACCGTTCCATGTTCTATCTAAAGAATGGCCTGTTCCATCTGCCGTTGGCCATGGAACACCTGTTCCATTGCGGGTTACCTGAGGTCACATTGCACGTAAGTCGTACGGAATGACCCACACATTCAATTTTATGTGCCTAAGACCTTCAAAATGTATCAAATCTCATCATTGTTAGTATTTGCATACCTGTAATAAGACTAGTAAAGCTTTCGAGATACAAAATTAATGTGCTTGTTCTTATATATATATATATATATATATATGAATGGTTTATTTCAGTTGATACCTCGCAGCCACTTGGCTGAATTACGTACAACTTACAAAATGTCTCTAACTGAATCACATCCAAATTATAAGTGTTACACAGATTACGATAATTTACGGAAATTGTAAACCAAATTTGCGACAATTCCACATATGATCAATTTCTTTCAAAAAGTCAAGTATTAAGAGCAGACAAATTCAGTATCAATTAGTTCTAAAATCTAAAATACTACACACATTTCATTAAGAGAAGTGGCATTAAAAGCAGTAGGGAATCCTTATATAATCATTGCATCTTTGATCTCAATTACATAGCTACTATATAATTCATTTATTTGAGAATCTTTGCCAGTTTTACACTGGGGTAAGTTTGGAATAGTCCACTTTTGCGTGGGAGGGAGATGGACTGAAATATGCTGTATTTGCTCCCAAGCAAATGTCGGCCTCTCTAGTTTATTTTTTTTTTTTTGCAAATCAGAAAAAAATGAAGCAGCGAATCCGTTAACCAAGAAATTAAATTGGTGTGGCCTAATCATTAGCTGATTGGTACAACAAAGTAAGCTCCTGTCTGCCAAAGAACTATCCTTAGTACTTACCAGTGGGTTATGTACTAGCTCGGGAGCATCAAATTACCTGTGGTCCCGGATGTGTAGATGTAGCACATTGGATCATCTACGCTCAAGGTTGCTCTCAGCTTGTACGCGATTGGCTGATCGGATGCTCGTTTGATGTTATCGTCCAATGGGAGAAAGCCGTCTGGAGGAGGCCTGTCTCCCTGCAGCCAAATTGCCACGCCCTTCTGATGGAGCTCAGAGGAGATCTCCGCCGCAGCATCAAACAGCTCGGCATCTGACCCGATCAATAAAATATACCCGATAAATAAAATATCTGAAAACTACAAACATTCGACACAGAACAGCCATCACAAAACTCCGGATAAGTTCACACAACCTCCACATAGAAAAAGGCAGACACAACCGCATTCCTCTACAGCAAAGGATTTGCCAATTTTGCGATTGAGATAAGATTGACGATGAGTATCATTTTGTAGTCGATTGTACGTTATATAGTAATGAGAGAGATTCCCTATATTCTTATATAATAGATACGTTCCCCAGCTTTGGGCATTTAAATGAATTAGAAAAATTCATATTTCTTATGAAACTTGACAAACCATGTATCATTAGTTCTATATGCTCGTAAATCTATAACTGCGTCAAAGTTGAACATGTAAATAGTAGATCACATTAGTATGTATAGTTTGAGTGTCATTGCTGTATCCTTTTCCTTGTCTATCCATGACCTGTACTTAGCTTGTTAGAGCACAAACGTACAATAAAGGTCTTTCATTCAATAAACGACAAACATTGATACGTCCGAGGTATTCGACTCTTTACCGTAAAGAGTTTATAAATCATAACAAATGTCTGAATTACCAATTTGATAATGGTTGATAATAAGTTCAGTTCGTCCTCATCATGATAGTAGTAATATTAACCTCAAATTAATATTTTGACAATTTAGGGTTTACGACCAGCCCCGAGTTGTATACCCTGTCATAAGGCCTGGACATTTCCTATAACCACCGATTGATTGAATCGCCAAGTGAGCGCAGCGAGCTGGCGGGTCATTTAAGTTTCAACATATAGCCTATCCGACGTTTGTTGTTTTCTTTTCCTCCGGGTTTCCTACAGTTGGTCAAGCTGCTACCTGTCTAAACAAGCAAAACGGACACGCGCGCCTTCGTTAGCTATTTTGTTCTCCCTCTGGTGCCACCGGTTCCTCCGATCCAGAGCGTACCCTTCACCTAATATTGCAACAAAATCTTCTGCTTGGAGATTAAATTGCAATTAAATCTATTATGGCGTGATTTCTCCACAGAGATGAGGGGGCAAACTTTGAAAGGTTGTTAGGCAGAATCTGTCCTCTAACAGACTTTGATCGATCCGACTTTGTTCGATCTGGCGTCATTCGACCAGAACACATTCCATTTGGGGTCACCGGGGGGTCATATCGGTAGACGCTGATTGGTCGCGGTGTTTATGGGATTTAAACACCACGATGTTTATGGGATTAATTACCACCGGTAAGGATATGGCGTCATAACTAATATGAAAATGGACTTCTGATTGGGCAACGTCATCTGGCTACTGTGATAATGATTGACATTACTATTTATAGTAACCTCAAATTAACAATATGATAATGGTTGCTAATGCTAACCCTCAAATTACCTTTACTTACAGATGCTAACCTAGGTTCTATAATATACTTTTATTAACTTTGCCTCTTTCATAGTTCCTCTGTTTTTTTAAAGTTTCCAACCATAACGTCCCTGCAGATTCAACGAAGGAAAAATTGATCTTTCCGAGCTGCAAACCCATGACCATATGGTATGTGTATTGATGATATCTTCCTCTCACCTTGCCCCACAATGAGAGCCTTTGCCTCCGCCACGTTGAAGCAGTGCAGCAGTGCCCTGGTCCTCAGGTTGGTGTTGAGGGACGCCATCTTCACCCCCAACTTGGCCAGTCCGAGGAAGGTCCAGATGAAGGCCGGCTCGTTGGAGATCAACATGGCGACGGTGTCCCCGCACCTGTACCCCTCCCCCCGGAAGTAGTTGGCCACCTTGTTGGACATGACGTCCATGTCCTTGTAGGTGTAGACTTCATTCTCGAACAGGAGGAAGGGCTTGTCGGGCTGGAGCTGCACCTGGTGCAGGAAGCGGTCCACTATGGTGACGGGCGGCTCTGCCGATAGGTACCGAGCTATCCGGCTCAGTGGCTCCTTGGCCGTGCGGATGAACTTCAAATCTCGCCATATGTGGGGATAAATGACGTGAGCGGCCAGGACGGCTGAAGATATGCCACCAACAGCAGCATACAGTGCTCCTTCTAATGGTTTTACCATGATGATTATAGAATTAGTTGAGACATATGTTGGAACTTCTTGATACTCAGGCTGGCGATTAGACTTCACTCCCCGGGTAAGGGGGGGAGGGGTTCAAAGTTCCTCGTTCTACCGGTGAATAACCCCTCCGTGGCCGGGTCACGGCTATCAGTTTCACGCCGTGGTTACTGCGGTGTTGCTGTGTTTGCAAACTTTCCAAGTCCAAGAACAAGGTGCAGAAAGGTTGTGGGGAAGTGCTATTTGTTGTTTGTTTTCTGGTACTCCTGTACATGAGTATGTGTATGTGTATGTGTGTGTGTGTGTACCTTTCAATTTATTGTGTATGAGAAGAAAATCAGAAACATGTCCAGAAATGCGCAAGGGGTACATTCATTGACGTCTATTTAAACTCGATATTGTTAAGATGATTTATAGATATTGGGGCGCAGTCTCATCACTATCATAAACCACGATTAAGTATTTGAATGCCCTACCATGGCTGGTAAAACACAAAGTGTGACAAACAGCCGTGTACATGTGACGTTATCGGTTATGCCGACGGAAACGATAGTATGTGATTTGTTTATTAACGATAGTATGTTGATTTGATTATATGGATGACATCCACGCGCGCATGAATTTTCGGCCGTTTCCAAAAAAAAAAGTTTTCAACCGTACTGTAAATCGTACAAAAAATATACCATAAGTTACAAAAAATTAATAAAAACTATACCAATGTCGTAGAATGCCAAAATCAAACGAAAAAAGACGAAATTGTAAAGAAATGAACTTGAAGACTAGATTATTCGCCAAACCATATTCTGTGCCATTTGCTCAACCCTCATGAACACGTAGATTTCATAATGAAAAGAACTTTTTATTTTGCAAAACTTTTTTTTTTATTCGCACGCGCGCATCAGTCTTGGGGCTCCCGAGGATGTCATCCATATAATCAAATCAACATGGCCTAAGGCGTAGCAAAAGTTCATAGGTCAAAGTTGACAATTTGGCGCGCACCACTACGTCCCTGGTCCTAGCGACGAACCATATAATTCTGCATCTTCGATCTAGGTCTCTAAAACATCGCTAATTATGAACGTAACAGACCCTGTGCACGCCAGCGCGGTTCTTCGTGAACTGAACAGTCTGAGGAAGGAGGCAGAACTGACTGACGTGGTTCTGGAGGTGGAGGGGAAGAGGTCAGTCAGAGCCGTGGGGAGGGCGACTGGCGGGAAACCGCGAAAACATATTTCCAGACCTGAAATACCAGAACATAATAGAACAGAAGTACACTCGAGTACTTCAACCTCTTTTGCTACCAAAACGTGTTCTTTCTGTCACGAAATTAAAAAGATGTAATCATAAATTTATTGAAATCGGAACCTTTTTTTTTTATCACAGAACCTTTCAAAAGCATAACGGGAGGGGTCCTAGTTAATTCCGAAGTTAGTTACCTGAAGTCGAATTAAGGAAGCATTCTTTAAACTTTTTTATGCATGTTTCCATTATCATTGCAGACTATGTGCCACTTTGTCAAAATAATCAGGTACAGGTACAGGTGACATTAACTGGTACATAATACAAGATACAAGGCCTGTATCTAAACCTCTGTTTAATACCTGTACCTGATCTTACATTTAGATAATTCCAACACATAAGATCACAAGAGTACACTTTTCCACATTAAATGATGGAGAGACTATTTAGTTGACTTAACATAGTTTGTAATATGAATTTCTTATCCGACTTCCAAACATCCAGTAACGCTAAAAATTTGTACAACCCTCAGCAAAACACCTAAGTAGTAATGTATTGTCTCCATAGCATGCCAAAAAACTGGGGGTTTTGGGGGTCTTCATGGTCCTGGAAGCTTTTATGTGCTATTTTCTGATTGCATATATTAAACAACATAGCCGGCCTGGTTGAATAACCCCCGATTTAGAACTGGGCTAATCAGAAAACAGCCGAAGACCACCAAACCCCCAGTTCTATAAACCTGCTATGGAGGCTAGTAATGTAGATGTTTCCATTGTAGTGTTATCAGTGATATTATCATGTTTTAATATTCTTCCCCAGTTTCCCCTGTCACTGTGCCGTCCTGGCCTCCTGCAGTCCCTACTTCCGTGCCATGTTCACCAGCAGTAATGTTATAATATTGACCTCCCCAGTTTCCCCTGTCACCGTGCCATGTTCACCAGCAGTAATGTTATAATATTGACCTCCCCAGTTTCCCCTGTCACCGTGCCATGTTCACCAGCAGTAATGTTATAAACCTCCCCAGTTTCCCCTGTCACCGTGCCATGTTCACCAGCAGTAATGTTATAATATTGACCTCCCCAGTTTCCCCTGTCACCGTGCCATGTTCACCAGCAGTAATGTTATAATATTGACCTCCACAGTTTCCCCTGTCACCGTGCCATGTTCACCAGCAGTAATGTTATAATATTGACCTCCCCAGTTTCCCCTGTCACCGTGCCATGTTCACCAGCAGTAATGTTATAATATTGACCTCCACAGTTTCCCCTGTCACCGTGCCATGTTCACCAGCAGTAATGTTATAATATTGACCTCCCCAGTTTCCCCTGTCACCGTGCTGTCCTGGCCTCCTGCAGTCCGTACTTCCGTGCCATGTTCACCAGCAGCTACGCCGAGGCCAGACAGGACAGGATCACCATCCAGGATGTGAGCGAGGTTGCCATGGCAACCATTTTGGACTACGCCTACACCGGTCGCCTGGAGACGGAGCCAGACCAGGTCCAGGCTGTGATGTCTGCAGCCGGACTACTGCAGGTAAGCCTGCTGTGATGTCTGCAGCAGTGACTCAAGAACTTCTTTACATACGTACAGTGCCAATTCATACTTTCCGCAAAAGGCCATGTATACGTCGCTATGTACTACTATGTACTAATTCACAATACCAGCTTTGTATTCCTGTGGTTTAGCAGCATTTTTATTTTTGGCTGAATTTTTTCGTTTGCCCGCAGGCACTAGTTTGGGGGTCTTCAGGGGATGTCATCCATAAAATTGAGTCAGTGTGGCCTAAGGCTGAGCCAAGTTACTAATACTTGTGTATAAGTCTATTCAGGTACATGTACATATATAGATGTTCCAGTTAATGTTTGACCTGTACATCAATGCTTTGTACCAGTATAACTGGGTACCAGTACTCTATCCATATATACAGCCATGTGTATAGAGATGTGTATAAAAAAATAGTAGCCTCATTAGCTTTGTCCACACCATTACAAGTGCAACAAACTGATTGTAGACAAAGTCAGTGTAACCATATTTTGTTGCCTGTAGGTGGACTTTGTATGCCGTAAGGCAGCAGAATACATGAAGGAGCATTTGGATGTGTCCAACTGTGCTGATGTCCTGATGTATGCTGACATGCAGGGGGACTCGTGCCTGGTGGAGGACAGTGAGAGATACATCGCATCCAGGTGAGATTTGATAGCTGTTACTTACATTTTGCAATAAGAATTATATTCATTATGTTTACCTTTGCAGAAGGAAATGATATTGTTTTTGCTCTATTTCGTCTTCTCCAAAGACTGCTGTCACCATGGTAACTGGTGCTGTAGCAGACACCCTGTGGGGTTTTGTTACATTATGTAGCATTATTTAGTTGGAGAGGCTGGTCACCATATGTATGAATGTGCTTGAGCAAGAATAAACAGAGCTCTAGTTTGTCAGTGTGAAGGTAAACATTATGCATTTGCTTTGAAAATGTTACCTTTCTAGTTATGTTTACCGAAGGAAAAAAATATTGTTTTTGCTATGTTTCTTCTTCTTTCGTTCCAAACACTGTCCTCTGACCTGGCCAATGACCTGATATGTTGACGTCTGTCACCATGGTAACTGGTGTTGGGTTACATAATGTTGCAATTTTATAGTAGGAGGGATTTATACTCTTGTCTGACTATATATATGAATGTATTTGAGTAAGGATGAACAGAGCGGACCTTATGCGAAGGTAAACATTATTTTGCAAATGTTACCTTTCTAGTTGAAGAAAATGCATTCACAACTTTTGTGTGCTTTAACATGATTAAACCAATTGCTTGTAAACATGTTACTTTCCCAGGTTCAACCAGGCAGTGCTACAACCCTCCTTTCTCCAGCTGTCTCTGTCCCAGCTCCAGTCACTGCTAGAAAGTGATGATCTCATCACCCAATCAGAAGACGACGTCGTCCAAGCTGCTCTAAGATGGATCGATTTCAACCAAGCAGAGCGCTCGCAGCACCTCCCTGCACTTTGCAAAACACTGCGCCAACCCTTCATTAGCTCAAAACAGCGTGAAGAAATCGAGAGCAGGCATCTGTCGTCATCTGGCGGTACCTTAGTCTACAGCGAAAACACAACCCAGCGGCTGGGGCAGAAGCGAACCGAAATGCAGGTCATCCTAACGTGTTATTTCGACGACATTGATGGTGATGGCCACCCGTATGTTCCTTGCTACAACCCTGCCACGGGCGCAGCGTATGCTATTGATCTACCTGATGACATACCCAGGCACTACTCTATGCTGTCCATGGCCGCCACCCCTGATGGTGACCTGTACCTGGCAACAGACATTGACACCAGCTGCAGTAGAGGGTGTTGTGAGGAATCGGGGACCAACAAGGAGAGGAAATTCTACCTGTACAACCACCTGCTGGACACCTGGGAGCCAAAATGTGAGATGATTGCGAAGACGGACAGGTAGGTGTTTTTTCTTCAAGCTGCTGCTGTTTTTTCTTCAAGCAATGAGCTGATTAGGGGCCCTTCCTGGTGTGAGTGATTCAAACCTTACAGTTTTGTCTTATGCAGCCTGTACTTCCTGTGCAAATCAGGCATGTTATGCCTGAAGACAGTTATCTGTTACCAATCATGTTGTGGAGGAGCTCCAATTGTATGGTGGAAAACTTGAAAAAGGATAGTTCACTTGTTGGCGACTCTGTGTTGGTAAATTTTCTTAATCTTTGTCGCACAGGTATGAACTCGTGTTCCTTGAGGGGTACATCTATGCCATCAGTGGTGATGATGAGAAAGGAATGGCAGAGAGGTATGACCCCAGCCGTGACGAGTGGACGTCCATACCGCCCTTCCCTCACCCCGTGTCCTCGCAACTCTGCACTGTGGCTCTTGGAGACAGCATCTACGTCATAAGAAAGGAAGGCTGCTGCAGCTTCAGTACCACAGAGAACAAGTGGGACAAGATCGCAGACATGGTCGAACCGCCAATGTATCCACAGGCCGTCACGTATCGGGGCAGCATCTACTGTGTGAACCGGGAAGACTCAGGAGACAGTTTACCCACTTATGTAGAGGCGTACAACCCTGCGGACGGTGTGTGGAAGCGCACTGGGAAGGGCAAGTCCTTTGTCTACAACAAGGGGATACCGACAACATACGGAGGGACTCTCAGAGCAACCCTGATGACGCATAGGGAGACTCTGTACCTCTTCACTGTACACATTGAACGTGAACGCGGTGGCTTTTGGGAGGAAAGTAATCCACGGTCCAAGTTATATGTCTACAAATACCGGCCAGAGACTGACTCCTGGGCGTCCGTTGGAAAGGCAGCCAAGCGCAAGCTGGCTCCACCCAAGAGGTGTCATGACTCCTTGTCAGATTTTCTGGTGGCAAGGATGTTCCCAAGATGCCTGGGTTACAACAGTGATCTTGACGATCTCATGTGGGACATCCGATGAAGAAAGACTCAGAATAGGGGTTGGGGGGATGACGAGTACTCATCCGAAGACGTTTCTGAAACTAATTGAGAGTCACCGATAAGGTGACCTTGAAACAGCAAGTTTTGAAACACTTGCCTTGACACTGATCACTCTGAATGTGGAACGACAGGTAAGAAATAAAATTCCAGACAGTTAACACCATGAATGTATAGCATTTCTCATCAATTGTGCAAATTGTGTCTTCATTTACATAATCAATATCAGCCGATGTTCCTCTCGTTCTCAGTTACATGTTTAAATACTCATATCTTGGAATGCGTTAGGTTTATACAATTTCCTTATCAATTATGCAAAGTTTCGTAATCTAATTATGTCAAGCATCACTTAAGCTACCGACATGTAGATATCGCGACGATACGTCAACCACTTCTTGAGTTATCCTCCATTAAATATTCTGAAATGCAGTTCCAGAACAAGCGGCTAGAGGACCCAACTAGCTCACTTCACTTATTCCCGAGCACAAGGGTTCTCTACCAACCAAAATTCATATCCCTAGCATGTCCAGGTCACGCGATATCAAAACTGGTTTGCTGCCTTACCATAATAAGCCGCTAAACTCATTAATCTCAGTAAAGGTCTCTCCATACTCAGTTGAAACGACATAATGAAAATTCATGGATGAGAAATGCCGAAAATTATGACGGAAAACGGCTACGTACTGGTAGATTCGGGACCTTTTGTTTTTGTCCTTTGTGAACAGGATAACTCAAGTATATGTCAATGGATGTTCTTGCTGGTATACAACTTACCGTTATGGAGACCAAGGTTAAGTTCGAGCATTGGCCTCTCTACGTCATTGCAGTGGACATTTTGTGTTTATTGGTTTGTTTGTAAGCAATCCAAGTTCTAATCGAGCAATTGTCTGGATTGTTGTATGGGCAATAGGTTTTGGGGCATAGATAAAGCGGTGTAAGTTTGGACTCCCTAGTGCCTAGAGTCCCTATGAGGCAATGCTAGCATAGCCCTATTTGTTTAAGATAAGACTGTCATTGGGTAGAGAATATGATCAAAGGTTGTAAACACAAGCGAGGATCTTATTTCCATAATGAATGTGAAACGTGTAATTTGTCATCAGTCGTAAAGGTTATTATATAATAACATCATTTAACGAATGCATGAGATCGTGGAACTCTAGTTATGAATCAGTGCGCGCATTGATTTTCGCATGATTTTGTAAAAAAAAAAAATAAGACGAAATTTTGTTGGTCTCCGGTGGTGGACAACATACCGAAATGGACAAACTGTTGTAAATGCCTATCGGGTCAGAGACCGTCAGAGATCCAGCAAACTTGCACAACTGCTCGTGTTTGATGGCAAATGCTGACAGTGTAAGGTGTTTCATCACGCATGAAGAATCTTTTCTACAATTGTTAATTGAGATGTGTACGCATCTACACGGATAGGTGATACTGTTAAATGGAGTAATAAAGACATGTTGGTTGTGATATCATGTTTTGTCGTCTGAACTCTTGTTTAACAAGGTTTATAATCTCAAAAGTTGAACATGTAGGAATGTTGTTTTCAGGTCTAGATCTGTCTCGTGTGTTGTCTTTTACCTTTGACCCCCTCGGGTCGTATTGTTCACTTCGGACTCGACGTTCACCATACGACCATACCATTCAGACATTATAGGTATGAAACATTATCCAGGACCTTAGTCACTCAGGTATTGTGTAGATGTAAACACAACATAGCGATATTTATCTTCAGCATTCAGAATTAAGTTAGTATGTAGATGGTAAAAAAACAAATCGAAGAAACAAAAGGTGGTTATGGCTAAATGTCAAATGTAACACCCCCCAGACTATCAGATAATAGAACAGTCTTTGTGACACCTGAGTAAAGGGGGTTTCCGCTAGTATCGGCAGGTGTTTCGCTGGAGAGTTCGAGAGCTTCTTCACCAAGTGGTGAAAAATCCGAACCAAGGATACCTACCGAACCTACCGATATCTCAAAATATATTCGAAAAACATCTTGCGATCTTGGTAACTGTATCTGTGGTGCAACTGAGACTTCACCAGCAGAATTCGTCCCCAACGAGAGAGCAGAGAACATGTCTGAAAGGAAAAGACAAGGTATTGTAGGACTTGTTGGTCATACGTTTTAGACAGATATGTATTAACAAGGAGGTTTAAAATCTTGTATTTAACCTCCTTGGTGTTACATATGACGTTACAAACGATGAGCTCGAAGCATAGACATACATTTGTCAGTAAAGTATGCAATATTTTCTTTTTAACACTCCAAATGGTACAAGAGTGCGTTAATTTTTTTATAACGTTACATGTGCTACCTGTAATACGTCACAATCAAACGCCTTGCAGTCAAAAGTCAACAGCTAAAGATCAGTTATATTATTGTCAAGTCAGTCAAGACCCAAAAGTGTGAGTATAACGTTATATATTTTGGATGATTTGCATGAAATGCTCTCATAATGGTCAAAATACCTTTCACGTGAGTCAGGGTCTATTGCAAGTTCACAATGGTAGTGTCGTGTGTAAACAATATGGCTGCCCCGTGCGTTCTGACAAGCTAGTGTAGGGTTTCCGCTTTGGTCACCCTATACCCACCTAAAAAATCGCCCCTCGCAATTTTCGCGTCGTATAATTTCCGAAATGGTTTGAAATCTTAATTTCTGAATGCCATCTTCTCGGCAGATTCTTCTAGCCAGGTACTCTGGGGAAACTTGAAAATTGTTGTTTTGAATATTTCTATGATAAGAATGTTTAAGGCACCAATATCAACATTTGAAAGCTTAAGAAAAATTATACAACCTACTAGTTTCTTCGGAACTTCAGCCGCACTTCAAACCGCGTTCATGACAAAATATGAATGAATATAGATCATAAATGAGGAAGGTATTGCTGCATGTGAATCATGGTAGACCATTCATTTTGTCGTCTCACTAATAATTGAAATCTAGATATTTGTCTCGTTCCACTTGCAACGTGGGTAGGGGGCATCAAGTAAGTTTTCAGATAATACTTCTGTAGAAAATGTAATATGTCCTAAGACTTCTATAAAAAAACGAGTGTGGCCACAGTGATGTTTCTGTGTGTGTATTTCATCTTTTGATTGAAGCCTTATCTGAATAGAATACGTCGAGCAGATAGGAAAGACCAAATAAGTGTTTCATGTATCTCTTAGTTCAGATATGATTTTGGTATACAATGTATACTGGAAATTAACTGAAATTTTTGTAAGTGGCGTATAACCTACATTTTTACAACTTGTTTGCAATTGTTTGAAAACACAGGTCGGTCATACCTTCGTCCCTGTGAGAGCAGTGAGTCGGACGTTAGTGAAGACTCAAGTTTGGAAGAGGACGAGGACGACGGAAAAATCTCAGTGAAAGTCAAACCATGCACTTACGACTTTTGGACGAGAACGAGAAAGGAGGTAACCTAATCTTGTAAAAGTAATCTGTTTATTTTAATGCCTTTGTCTTACGGCTCCCGTACGTATACATGTACGTATATATTGCACATGCAGCACTTGTATATATAGAATACAACACGGGGTATTCCGTATCGCCCGAGGTATCGGCCCGACCGCGGGTCGGCGGCCGGAGGGCGATCCGACTCGCGGGAGGGCCGGGACCGAGGGCGATGCGGAATACACCGTGTTGTATTTTATTTATGTCATACCCACCCAAGAAAACACGCCTTTCAATGCAAGATGAGCCAAAAGTTGGTGCCACTAAACCCTAATATGCAACTACGTCAGTTCCAACGTCCGGATTCTGTATTCGAATTTTCGAAAGTAGCACACGCGGTTAGGGCGAAACGCGTTCGAGTCGTTTTATGGAAGCCATGGAAACGTTCGATAACGGGTTCCGGACCGGGCCGTACCGTAAAGTACGGCCCGGTCTGGAACCCGTTATCGAACGTTATCGCGGCCCGGGTATGATATAAGTGTATATATACTGCGCGGAACCCGGAAGTACATGTAAGAATCAGTAGCGGTGTAGAAGAGGTTATGGGTTAATAATTTGATTGCGCAATATGGCGGTTGCCTCATGCATAAATTATGCAAATATCACCACAATGCAAAAAGGTGTTCTTAAGTTATGCGTACCACAAATATGCGAAAACATAAACACACATACACAGACAGATAATAACATATCGGTGATAATATATTCTCAAAGATATATATCCGCAATGTCATACCTAAAATGCTCAAGTCATTGACAATGCTTTCTAGCCATAGGCGTAGTATGTTGTCGTAGTTTGATAAGTTTCTTCAACTGTTTCTTAGGCGCGCACTTTTCTTTTAAAAAGTGCTTAAGTTACCTTAGTTTAATTTGCCCCTTGATTGTACATACGCTTCTTCAGCGATTACTTTATGTTGTATTATATTGTTATCATTTCATTTTATATATAATATAAATATTATTTTATTACCCCCAGGGTGCATTGAAAACCACCCTCCAGGGCGATATGTTCTCTGGTTAAATAAGCAA